GGCATCGCAGCTCAGAGCAACCTCATATTCTTGGGCTTAAGTGATTCTCTTGCCTCAGCCTCCCAAGTAGCTGGGACCATGGGCGCCCGCCACAACGCCCGGCCATTTTTTTGGTTGCACTTGTCATTGATGTTTGGTGGGCCACGGCTGGATTCAAACCCGTCAGCTCAGTGTATGTGGCCGGTGCCTTAGCTGCTTGAGCTACAGGCACCAAGCCAAAGCTCACGGTTTTTAACCTCCCAGTAATGCCCTCCCCACCACCACCACCCCAGCCATGATTTTAATAGTGTAGCCAGGCCTGAGAAGGTTTATTATTCTAAAATAGAGATTGCTAGACTCTACTTTTAGATTTTCTGATTCAGTAGGATGAAGGTAGGAGCTAAGAATCTGAATTTCTACCAAGTTCCCAAGTGATGTGGATGCTGCTGGTCTGGGACCTCCCTTTGGGAACCTCTGCTTTAGGAGAAATGATCTCATAAATGGAAGTTTATGATCCACAAAGTGGAAGCCATATTGGTGATCCCATTGTAAGGTTCATTAGGTCAATTTGTAGAGAAATACCAATTAGAAAAGGGCCACAGCAGCTCATGCCTGTAAACACTCTGGGAGGCTGAGACAGGTGGATTGCTTGGGCTCAGGAGTTCAAGACCACCAGCCTGAGCAAGAGCAAGACCCCATTTCTACTAAAAATAGAAAAACCAGCTGGGTGTCATGGCAGGTCCCCGTGGTCCCAGCTACTGTGGAGGCTGAGACAAGAGGCTCAGTACCCATAGCTCAGTGGTTAGGGCAGACTGGCCACATGCACCAGGGCTAGTTGGTTTGAACCCAGCCAGAGTCTGCTGAACAACAAAGACAACAATAACAAAAAAACGGCTGGGCACTGTGGCAGGCGCCTGTAGTCCCAGCCACTAGGAGGCTGAAGCAAGGGAATCGCTCAAGCCCAAGATGCTTGAGGTTGCTGTGAGCCACAGCACTCTACTAAGGGTGACAAGAGTGAGACTGTCTCAAAAAAAAAAAAAAAAAAAATACACAGAACTGAAGGAAAGAAGATCCTATAAGGGCGGTGCCTGTGGCTCAGTGAGTAGGGCACTGGCTCCATATACCCAGGGTGGTGGGTTCAAACGTGACCCCAGCCAAACTGCAACCAAAAAATAGCTGGGCGTTGTGGCGAGCACCTGTAGTCCCAGCTACAAGGGAGGCTGAGGCAAGAGAATCACTTAAGCTCAGGAGTTGAAGGTTGCTGTGAGCTGTGTGACACCACGGCACTCTACCAAGGGCAACAAAGTGAGACTTTGGTACCCCATGATTGCATTAATGTACACAGCTATGATTTAATAAAAATAAATAAATAAATAAATAAATAAAGTAGGTCTATAAGAAATCTTGATCAGAACTTCTTTTGTTTTTTTCAATCCTTCTTTACTTTGAGACAGAATCTTTTTTTTTT